TAATTTATGATATAATTGACTGTAATACAGTCACATTTCTCTCACGGTTCAGATAGAATTTGTCCAGTCCAGTGTCATTCATCCAACCTAGCTACAGGACATGGTCTTTTTTACTGCCTAGGACATGTTCATGAATTGATCCTTTCTAATTCTGTTGGGCAAGCCTTTTTGAAGATGGACAGGAAACATCAGTATGTAGCTTCACTGTCTGTAGTTACAGGCTGCTGTCTAAGGTTTCTGCGCGGCTGTTCTTGAGTATGTTATGTAGTGAATTCATCAGCTGTCTGTACCAAGATAAAAAGATGATTTGATTACACTAGCAGAAGCAGCTCTCAACTTTTCATTGAATATATTTCCAATACATGTTGTAATTAATGTTTCTCAGTGATTAAAAGATTGGTGGTATTGCTATTTATAGAGAAGCCAAATATGATGCCTTCTTCTGGTAAGAGAACTGCATTTATTAAAAGGATCATTTTGTAGACAAAGTGTTGGTACTTATAGACAAAGGGGTACTTATACTAGGCTTATTACTCCCTTTTAAGAATGGGTCCATACCCCTCAATCCTTTGTAAGGAGCTTCAACTCTTATTCCAATATACTGACAGTATCAGAGCATCTCACTTTACTGTTGGGCTTAAATCCAACAGGCAATAGAGTTGGGATGTTGATCCAAGAATATGCAATTGCTTTACTGCTAAACTCCATTTAACATTTCAGATTTAGTAAATGCAGCCTCTTCTCTCTCCAGTTACAATCTCTTGGAGGGAGAAGAGGGGTAGTTCAGAGCAGCCGTATCTGTCCACAGCAGTAGGAGCTAAACGGGGCTGTCTGGAGTCAAACATGCACCATTGTGCATTTACATTGAGTTCATATATGCATATTTATATTGAGTCATCATAATTATAGAGGACTTCCATAGTGTTAGGTATAAGGAGAGATTCAGGATAAAGTACTAGTAAGGCCATTCAGTAAAGTAACAGGAAAAATGATAAAGTCCTCACTAAAATACTCATTTAGACTTTTTGTGAAGCATTTTATAGCTTTGCAAATTCATTCATTTAAAACAACCATTTGGAAGTAGTAATCCATGGTTGTAAGATACTTCATACAAAATTAGTAATAGCGAAGGTCCTGAGCAACTTGCTTGTGCTTTCACTTTGCATACCTCCTGGACTTCTCTGAAGGAGAAACAAAGAATATGCTCCTGTTTTGCCATATTTAGGCCTCCTTTCCAGCTTGAGTAATATGCCTACATCTAGTCTTTACTCTACAATAAAGCCTGAGGTCTTACACTTCTTGACTTGCAGCTGACAAGAGCGTCCTATAAGGCACAGACCTAATTAGCACAGTAAATCCTGCTCACTTCAACGCCTCAGAAATGGAGATAACCCTTTTTCTTTCCCACTTTATATGCAGTTTGAGTCAGTGCATGTCTACACAAAAGGCTCCGCAGATAGAATGTACCCAACATTTAGCAGGCCGTGGGTTAAGGCTCATTTCCCCAATTAAGGAAATGAGAGAATCCAAGTCAAGGGGGATTCGTAGCATGTTATGCATTTAAAGTGAATGATGCTTAAAAACCAAGGTTCATGGCTTTCTGATCTAGAAAGGGGCAGATAGTGTTTATCAGATCTCATAATTAAGGTTGGGAAAAGTCTTGTATACAGGCTTGCAGATGAGTCATTGCTCATTTACATTAAATCTCATTAACCTCTTTAGCTAAACCTATACCAAGTTTTCAATGCATTAGTCCAGCTGCAAGAGTCTTAATCACATAACTGAACTCCTTCACTTGACATCATGCTCTACTGAACTGCAAAACCAATAGTTCAGCTGGCATTAGTCCTTGAAAACGATGATCAAATGTGATCTTTGCCCAACTGTATCGAACACTGAAAACCAATACTTGTTTTGCCTATAACAAATGTATTAAATTTGCTGCTCCAAAAGACTATTTAAAAAGCTTTAAAAAGCATCTGTTAAATAGAATGCAAGCCTTTTGTACAACATCTTCAAAGTAACTAAGAAAAGGTACTTGACCAAGCTAAAGACGTAGCCTGCTCTATTACTTTCGGGCTTCTGTTCTGTTTCATTAGTTATGCTACCACAGGTTCTGGCATTCAGTATAAAGCAGATTCACCTCCTCCATACCAGGAGGAGACACAAGCTTTGCTGCATGAAAGCAGACAATATAATGCTAAACCTCCACAAATTATATATTTATCCTTAAATACCTGAGAGTGTGGCTTTTATAAGATTGCATTTTAACTACCTTATATTTCTTCAGGAAGTGTAATTGTCCTTTTCATGAAGCCAAACGCTGGCTTGAAACACATATATAGAAAACACTGCCCATTCACCCGTTAAAGCTGAGTTTTAACAATATTGAAGTTTGAGGGTATTAGCTGCTACAAGATCAGATCAGGTCTCTTCTACCATCTCAGACAGAAAAAAAATGTACTTACAGTAAGTAGAGATATGAGTATTCAATAAAACAGAGCAGATTGTTACAAGCTTATCTATCAGCACAGCCATTAAACGTCAGAGTTTGTTTTATGTTTAAGGAAAAACTGTTAGAATTCATTCAGTTTAAATAAAGCAAAATAAAGTGATGAGAAGGCAAATCAATATTTGCGTTTAGTTCCAGCTCAGTGTTTTACATAAGATAAAACCCTAGTACCAGAGAGGTCAATAAAAACTACAAGTGCTCGGCCAATCCTTATCTTAACTTGAAGTCAGCTGTTTCTACTTTTGCTCTGTCTAGTATCCTCAAAATTAAGAGAAATGGTATTTAAAAATCTAGTTCCTACTTTCAAAGTAAGTTTCACTTGTCAACATACTCTCTCATCACTGAGCATAAGAGTAGCATCTACAACAGTTATTTTCTTTAGCTTTCATTATCAGCTATTAAAAATGGCAGGTACACCAAGGCATGCATTTCTACTTTCTAAAATTGACTGGGTGAAACAGCAAATAATGTGAAACTAAGACATCATTTACCCAGGCCAACTCTTGTGTTCAGCACACCAGAACACCAGTTTTAAGCATCAGCTATATTGTTTCCATTGATCAAAGCAAGTTAGGGAAAAACTCATGCAAAGTATTCAAAGTACTCAAAAAAAGTAATATCAAGCATAGGTGAAATTTTGGATGTTTACTTCAGTCCAACCACAATCTTCCCTAAGATTAAGCAAAGTCTGAGGAAATCAGACTATTTGAATTTCTCCCACAGAAGTAAAGACTAATGAGCTTATCGATGCCCGTGAGTGTATTCTTCTCCCAGCAAATACTGGCCAAGCCAACAAGCTGTTAATAAGAAGCAAAGATCTGTACATTCTGCTCAAAGTGATCTCGTTTTGAAAAATGATGGTTTTTGCTCTGCCACAGAAGAGTTAATCACAAAAATATGGCAGCTTAAACATGAATTGAATGATTACATTTGTCAAAAAATCACCACACTTTAAGACTGCATTAAGTCTAAAAATAGCCGTCAAAAATAAGGTGAATGATTTTTGAAGTATGGGGGAGACAGGAGAAAAACACATCCCCCTTGAGAAATATGAACCAGCAGAAATAAGACTAACACCTATATAATAAATTTGAAGATGAGTTTCAATACAAAGGAACCACCTTGCAAAAGAGACTGCAGCCTCATAGATTGGGAACAAAGAACTAATGGTCCAGTTATCTACACTAGTATGAAAATTCTTTAAAATTAAATATTCTTTCCCAATAACACAAGTGGGAATAAAGCCTGGGGAATTTTTCAAGTCTTCTGGAAGTATAGTCAGGATTCAGTAGTTACAGAATACTGATAATAAGATAAGAATGTAGGACAACTATTTATCTATCAATTAGCAAACACCGTCAAGCCTTTTTATAACTTTGTATTTTAATTTATGCACGCATAAATTCAACTGATCTTTATACAGAGGAGCTGAAAGTTTGCCAGCATGAGAACAATTGAGAGCTTCAGCCTGAAAAAAAATCTGGACCATTCTGAAAGCCATAGATCTTTTGCTGAGATCAATTTTTTTTAAACAAGAGACCAAAGCAATTGATAAAATTGATGGTGACCTTAAACAGCGGTATCACTATTGCAATGGCTAGTGCAATTCAAACTGTGCAAAAATTGCTTATATGCAGAAGGAAAGGAAGGGGAAAGGTAGCATTGTAAAAAAAACAAATCCAGCATGATTTCAATTCACTTGTTTTTTTAAATGAAACCAGGCTAAAACTCATTCCCAGCTTTAGCTAAGTTTTACAGAGGAATAAAGACTAATAAACATTAATATTTAATTTTGAGACAATGGTACGACCTGCATAGATGGAAAGTCAAAGAAAGCACCACAATTATCCATCTGCTCACTAGTCACTACTCACAGCTCCAGAATATCACAATATATGTTCTGCCCAAATAACTGGTCAAAAGGGGTGGTTAATAACCCACATGAGCAAGAGTTATACTGGATGTGATAGGGAATGATAAATGAGGAGTATAAGGATTACAAGAAAATAGCCTAAGATGTCAAGTTCCACTGGTATTGTTGCTCATGGAACAGCCCATATTTACATCTTAATTAAAGATTGCAGAATTCTTTTATCTGTGAAGTTGCACTACGAAGTTCAGATCTTTTTTTTCCCCAAGTACACTGAGAAATTTATAGAATACTTCTTTGCATGTTTGTATGCTAGACTTATACATTGACATGATACGTAAGATGCTAAACTATTCACCAGCTAGGGTTTATTTTTAGGGTCTTTACATACATGTTAAAGCAAACAGGAGATTTTAAATTTAACTGGAATGCATGGTTACACATGGTTTCCACTAAAAATAGTAATTCCTTCAAATGAATTAAATAAGCTATAAGCAAGCTGTTTTCTGGACATAGCTATACATCACAGCAAATTGAAGCCATGAAGAGACCGAGCTGCTTATTACAGCTGAGCATGCACATATCACATAGGAAATACAAGATATTAATGTATCTTACCTTCAGGTGCATCTGCATCACAGTTTTTAGACACAAATATTGTCACATTGCTTGGCTGGCCATCAATTGTCTTATTACTCTGCGTTATAAATACAGAAAATTAGTACAATAGCGTACCAGCAACATTCTTCCATACACAATGATAGTCCCTGAAACAAACACGTCTCCCAACAAATTACTGATTTTATAAAAAAGGCTTTGACAAATCTCTTACAATACTCAAAAAGGTTAAGATTGTTTTTGAACAGTGTATGCAGAATAAGCTGTAAGTGGTACAACATGAACATTTGTAAATATGCTCTCATTTAGAAAAAAATAATAGCTTTTGTTGTTTTTGAAGACTTGTGAAAAATAAAAACTTTATCTCTGAAATTAAACCTTTTAACTGTGCATAAAACTAATTTGGAATTCAACTTTGGTGATGAAGACACCATGAAAGTGTTGGGCTTGCATTATGATACCAAATACAGTTTACTTCTGGTCTAAAAGCCAGATGATAGTATCCAATATACTTGTCTTCCTCCACTCTGGCTAAGTTATGCTGAACTATTGAAAACCCAAATATTCCTGTTTAAGGGCCTCATATCTTTGGAAAACTGATCCTTTCAGAGAATACATGAATTCTTTATGCACCACACTTTTGAATCATCAGTGAATAATTTCATCAGAGTCCAATATGAATCCTTTGAACTATATTGATTTCTTCATACACTAACTCACTTCAAATGCTTTCATATCTACTGTACGTACTTTCATCCTCACAATTTCCTAAACAGAAAGCCCTCTAAAGAAATCGGTACGGGTCAACATCTTTTATCCTTCAGGCCGAAACACATATGTCCCTTAACACCTACTGAAAACCAGTACAAGCTGGCACATAAAATTGCTTCTCTGCCAACTTAATGGGGAAAGTTTGTCAATATGAAGTAAATTCATCTTTCAGTCTGAACATTCAAGAAAAAGACCAAGTGTCTATCCTAAAAAGCAGCAGTTTGTATGAACAGTTAACGTAATTTCATGCAAGCAAATGGAAGTGTGGAGACCACAAACTGCCTTAGAAGAAACTATTCCAAAAAGATTATCATTAGGCATAGGAATCAGGAAGTAAAGTAGAACCAAAACTAAGCAGACAACGTGTAGATAGAAACAATAGGATAAGAACAGAAGACATGAAATTTCAGTTATTCAGTGTACATTTAGCAGTAGTTCAGCTCCAGGAGGTATTGCAGCTGGCTGTCACCATTACAGCTTATACTGCTCAGTCAGAGAGAGCTTCTTTCAGAAGAACAGCATTATACATTGTACAATTATACAGGGGCATACAAAAAGCACAGAACAATCAGAATCTTACCATTTCAAAATTTTGTCTTCCTTATCTTTATTCATTTTGATTTTAAAATAGTAGGAATTTAAAATACAACATGCAACAATAGTTAGACCTGTGGGTTTCCTTTGATAATATCTATGCTTTTTTCCAAGTCTGATATTCTTTTTCTCCATGAACATTCCTGTAACTTAAGACTTCTGACATCTCAATTCAACTCTAAATGCTTTCCACAAGCTCAAGGCACTGGGGTGTACCTTAAAGTCA